GGACCTGGCATCGGGCAGAGTCGGGCAGATCACCAAGGTTTCATGGCCACGTGCTGCGACCCACAACGAAGAGAAAACACACGTTTCGGAACATGTGACATGTTCACACTGTCTACCTCATGATTTTCAATTTGTATATATACATATATAACATAATATACATATACATATATGTATTATATTATTATTATTATTACTTTTATTATTATTATTATATTTATATATATATATGCGCCGTTATATGCTTATAATGTTGAAAAACATGTTCACACTGTCTACCTCATGATTTTCAATTATGTATATAAAACTATTTTCACATATATTTGAGGCTATTCTGTTCGGTGGTGAACCAAAACTGGAAACCAGCAGCCACACAGCCACGTGTATCAACTCCATAGCTATGACGGGTTGTTTCGGGTCTCAGAACCTAGTGACTCCAAAGCCGCAGAATCCCATATTTTGCCGTTGAGATATGCAGTTGAGATCAGTTGAGTAGCTTTCTATTCCTGTGGGAGGAAAGTTAAACGCCAAGGCTGAGAATGAAGAACGAATTGCGGTGACATGAAAAGTGTATCAGCATCACACCTGCAATACAATAGGTGAAATTCGCTTCTGCCAAAAGGGCTTGCGAAGTTATGGATTTTTAACTTCAACATTTCCATGAATATCATGAATTGTTTCAGCAAAACAAAGTTTTCTCTTCTGTTTCATCCAATTTTCTTGAGTTTCGCATGCATGATGTTCCATTTCAGGAACTCCAAGTTTCTAAACGAAACAGGCAATTCGAACAAAACTTCCAACTTTCCCAACATCTTTTTCCAGTTCCGTTTTTTTTGCTTCGCTCTGGGTGTCCCTGGCGGATTGTGCTTCTGCGTCTCCCATGAAGGCTGTGAGCCTCGCTCCTCGAATGCGGCCATCCTTGGGATGCCTGGCCGCATCCAAACAACATCCACATCCAACATCCAACCCCCAAAACAAAACACCCCTCACTGTGAAGTCAAACTACTTCCGTGTCGCAACGTGTTCTGGGTCATCTTTTCAAGCAGATCAGTTCACCGCTGTTTCGGAGACTTCGATGAAGTTTGGAGCCTCAATGGATGATTCAATTCCAAAAATGGTTATCTCAGTTCTCTCTTCTTGAGCCATCCCCATGTTGTTTGTTGGGCCCATCTTACCCCACCGGCAAACTGCACTTTTTGGGATGGAGATTATTTGATACCACCAAGCTTCTACATTGTGTTACATGGGTTGGATCCCCATTGATTTCGGTGAATTCCAAGTTTTGATGGGCGAAAACCAGAAGCTTGACAGCAGCACCCAGTTTCTTGTTGGTTGTATCATTTTCGCGTTCACTATGTCCCAATTTGATGGTTTTATTGTTGCTATTTGCTAGTATAGTTTACATTACCACCTGCTAGCTGCTAGCTTTCTAAAAAGTCCCGCCTGACGGGCTTCAAACATCGTGGTTGGATCTTCCTGAGAGGCCGGGAGCTTTCCACCAAACTTCATCAAATTTCAGAACAAATTTCGGGTCAAAACGGTGAACATAATAAAAAAACACATCCAAAATCATGGATCAATACTTGAGGGATGATACATTTAAAGATATTTAAAATACAATTCATGCTTTTGACATCTTTTGACAGTTGGACCATGTTGGACCTATTCTAATTTCAAACGAGGCACATATTTTTGGTGCCATCCGGCATTTGAACGCGGACCTGAGCAGAGTGCGCAATGGAGTAATCTGCAGTGGGTATGACCCATACATACTTCAACCCATTTCGACCCATTTCGACCCATTGGATTCGGTGCTGAAAACAAGTGAAAGCTCGATGTCAGCGATTTCAAATCGCTGAATGCTCGTTGGATAAATTAGTGGTGGCTCCGTCCATCTTCAGGTTGATAGTCGATTGGATTGTTGGGAGGAATTGAGGGATCCAACAGAATCCCATATAGAGTGCCGGCCCAACCAGGGCCCAACCTGTGAAATTCTGTGAATTTTCAATTGAAATAGCAACGTCTGAAAAGTCTGAAACCTTCTTGGATGTTCCTCCTGAAGCTCGGGCATGACTCACCTTTGCCACCTTTGTTTGACTTTCAACCATGGTCAGCCAGCGTCTCAGAATCTGCCTAGCTTCGGCACGTCAAATCTTCGTCTTGAAACCAATTCAACCATATTTAAGTTGGCTTAGTTGGCTTCCTCTCACCATGCTGGGTTTTATTCATTTTATTCCCTTGTTCCCTTGAAGCCACGGGCCCAGTCTCCAGTACACCTAGCAGACAATTCCGCTCCATATCTTTTATCACAGAAATTCACAGATTATTTCAAATTACTTCCCATATGGGTGCATTGCAGGTGGGTATCCCGTACGAGTAGGTCTTCAAAGGTCCCATGAGCCAAGCTGAGCGACCATTAGGAAGCCCTGGTCATCTGCCACGCGGCTTAGCACTTCGCCATTCCGACCATTCCTTAGGGACTCGGGAGCGCACACACACACACAAAATAGACACCTGTTGAGCTACTATTATTTATTCAAACAAGCACTCACAGAGAAATTTTCAACGACATTTTCCGTCATCTACGATTTCGCCAGTTTTTGGCATCCAACATGGGGTGCGTATGCTGTCTACCCCAAATCCACTGGAGTTCATCATATTTCGCATCAAATGGCGAAAAATCTCTATCAATGCCTGCCGACTTTGGCAGACTCAGCATGTATTCCAATCTCTAGATTGCCCTGACATCCTGTCAAAATTGATGCACTTCAAATCAGACAAGAGGCAAGGCTTCATGATGACGCATTCCTGTGAGCTCAACTTCCTCTCCTGTGTCAATCTTGAGGTTTAATGGAACATCTACAGGAAACTGCAGCGTTCCTGCCAAATATGAGGGGTTTCTTGGGCTTTCATGCCAGATTTTTCTTCCAATGACTCAACCACATCCAAGCTGCAAGATTGTCTCATGTTTCTTGTTAAATCATGGATATATGGTTCCATTACCGTCTATGGCCAGGGAAAAAGGGATCCCAACTGCCGAACCCAGTCGCATGAATAGGATCTATTTCCTCCCAGGCATCATTGCTGGGTTGGTTAAATAGGAAATTCTATGGGAAACCATGGATCTACCGGCTGAATAGTTGCAGCTTCTTTCTGTAAAATGTTCGACTCTAAGACAGTCTGAACCAACCATAATCATTTAATCACAACTTGAAAACTTTTGAACAATTTGAACTTAGTATGTTTTCATATATTTCCCCCCGCTACTAACATCTACTAACCAAAATTCATCAAAACTCCATGATTTTTTCATGGCCTTTCCCTGCAAACGCTTCGTCCTGGCGCTTGCAGCTTGTACTCCCGGGGAATCGGATCACCTGCGTCAGGATTCCAATGAATTCGGCAAACAAAAAAAACAATATATGAACAATATGTTCAATATATATGTTCAATATATGTTCTATATATATATGTATATGTATAGCGATATCCAAGTTTCTCCAAATTGAGGTCTTGCCATTTATGACGCACTCATGGCTAAATTTGAGTTTTCTCAACCATGATTAACCGAAAACGGGATAGTTTACGTCAACAGATTGGAGAATGGATCAAATCATTTGGGGTTACAACAGACCCACACCTGATATTTTCAGATTCTGAAACCATGCAGTTTGGCGGTTTGATCGTTACCCATCCCCATTTCTGTATCACTTGGGATAATCATCCTGATTTCTGGGATGAAGATGCGTGAGCATTCGTAAGAACCAATTGGAATGACCCAGGTATGATGGAGGGCAACATACCAGTGACTACCGAGCCCTGCTACGGCCTCTATTGATGGCCCGGCGCAGGTCGGCATTGAGCTCCTTCATGGTTGCCTCGCGACTGGGGGTCATCGATTTTTGGCGAAGGTGGGCAAGATAGACAAAAAGAACAGAATCCATATATATATATAATTATAGATATATGTATAATAAAAGATATGCAACAAATATTTGCTTTACAATTTAGATATACAGGAACATATCATCTTAAATTCTAGTACATGCGTATCATATGTAGATAAGATATAGACTTGTTGTGAACATCCAAGCACCTGTTGCAATGCTGCGAAGACGATCAATAGTGCAAGATATCTTTGTGCCAGTGGAATGACATTTCAAAGGAACCGAACCAGTTCCTTTACTTGCGTATATGAGTCAAGATGGTGGGGTACAGGGAGAACAACAAGTCCAAAAAGAAGGCGTGATAATTACTTAGTTTTCTCTTCTTTTTCATCTATATCAACCTCTATCTCTATGTGTATATATGTATATATATATTGGTACGTATTCAAAAGATATGCAGTACATTCACACGTTTCCAAAGCGTTTCCCACACCCTCCCCAGCTCGGACCTCCTCGCAAATCTTCTGCATGTTCCATGGTGTTTTGCACAAATCCAGCGGCATGTTTTGCACCCAAGGCCGCCCTTGAAATGACAAACCCACGCTGTCAGCCTTGCACTGGGGTGATGGTTCTTGGTGTCCAAACCTAACCATAAAGCTGAAACAAACATTCTTTGCATCTGGCCAGAGGTGTCCATTCATAGTGTATATAGATAGTGTATATATCATGTTTATGTAAATGTATCATGTACAAATGAGCAATATCAGCATTGTATCAGCATTGTCATATTGTCGCGACCTGGATTGTTAAAAGCTGGCATGCAGATTCACAGTGATTCACCGATTCATCTCAAACCTTGATCGCTCCCACTTTGAAGTATCCTCCCAATCTTCCAAAACACAATTTCACCTGGAAAACTGTGGAAAACTTTGCCAAACTTGTTGGGTTTGCAGATCCAGCAAAGGCTTCTTGAAAAATGATGACATGGTGAAGTTCATCAAACGATCTTTGCCCGTTTTTGTTGCGCACTTTTGAGTCTTCGCCAAGTTCACTGTTTTCCCCAAATATCCCGGAATGGTTCCCCCAAAAAATGCATCGGGCATTGTTTCTTTTCCCCACAGCGCCAGATCACATGGTTTTCTGCTCCAGGCGCACGTGCCAACGGACATCATTCTCCTGACACGGAAATGTGGGTGGTTAAATCCACATTTTGGGCCCTTCCAGTCCCAACCAATCAACCAATCGTCATTGGTGGAAAACCATTTCATATCACATGTTACTACATATACCTTTACAGCCCTTCAGTTTCACTATTTGCAACTTTGCAACACAAAAAATATGTCTCTATATGTCCGATATGTCTCATCTTCCATCCACAGTTTCGTTGCTCCAACGAGAGCATGTTGGCGTTGTGAGCCCTTTGTTCACTGCGTGGCCCAAATGTCACTGAGTTGTGAGCTCAGTCATGCGTCATGTCGTGCAATGCTTAGGAGGCTTTCGTTCACCTCAAGTTTTGAGGATTGAGGATGTCAGGTTTCAACACTTTCAGAATGACACCTCACCTCACCAATATTTGCCACCAACAAGCCAAATAAACTAAATTCACCATAAATAAACCAATACTCAGGAGATCTTTGCTGAAATTCGTCCCCATACACATAGAAACCGACTCACGGGTTTGGGTATGGGTCATGTCGTTGGGACACCAAAATCCTCGACCGAATGGTTTTCCACGGTTTTCCATGCCTTGCCAAGAAAATACTCTTGCTGAATCAAAGTTGGATGGAAACTACTCTAAGTAGCCAAAATGCGTTACACAGGCCTTCAATGCTGTGAACCCCGTTGCAAGAGCCTGCTAGGGTCCCACGCCGTCCGAGAAGGGAAGGATTTTGGTATCCTTAGAGACATCGAATGCGCTGACTCTTTGAACTCCAGGTCCAGGTACCACAGGTGCCACAGCAAAGAGATCACAATGACACAGGATATCACAGGCTTGGGGTGTTGCGAAGGCAAAGGGTGTTTGAAAATGGCCGAGTCGCTTGGAAGTGCATTCCTTTGCAACATTCATCATGTATTCAGATGTATTCAGAATTCAACATATTCACATCATTCTCATTCAACTCTTTCAATGCCAAAGGTTACGCACGATTGTCTTGCGGAGCCCCAAGGGGTGTGCCATTTCTGCTTTTGAGAGCCGTTCCAAGCCGTTCCAAATCCACAACAGCCGATCCGGGGCGCTGACGGCTCGTCCCTTCCGGGGTGTCACTGGTGTCACTGGTGGCGAGTTCAGAAGTGGAGAACTTTTGCAAAGACCTCAGGCTACACCCCAAATCCTTGGGAATGCTGGGAAGTCTATAAAGACTATAAAGGGGAAAGAGGTTTTCATCTCACGAAGTTCCCCGTTGTGGCGGGGGGATATTGTTGATTTATGTTGATTTCATACCCCAAAGTGTAGATTTTGGTAACTTCGGCATGGTTTACATATGTTTACATATTATCATTGCTATCATCGGGCTTACGCCAATGTGTTAAGTTTCTTGTATTTTATTTGGCCAAATGAAGAAGTGTTTTAAAACAGTGCAACCATGCCATGCCATACAGACTAAAGCTGAAGAAGACCTGTGAGAAATCATCTGAGGTTCTGTGCGCTGCACATCGTTCCAAGCCCAAATATTGTTGGATATACAGATATACACGTTCATTTTTTGCTGCCATAGGTCTGCTATTAGACTATTAGACTATCCACTTTCGGAGATCTCGTAGTGAGCCCGGCACCCTCTGTGTAGATCTCGGCACTTAGCTGCCCAAACGTAGCTCCGGGCTGAGTCCATGTTGCTACAGCGCGGTGGTAGCTGTCGTTGGCCTTAGCTTTGCCAAGAGATGATGTGCTGAGTTGGGGTGGATCCCATGTGGATACCAAACAAATACAGTGGATAGGTGAACAATGGTGAACATAAACACTCCTATAAGATCTACAAGGGGGGAAAAGTGACACCTCAATTTGACATGGGGATACAAGGAACATGATGACACCAACAAGGAGAATGTAAATTACATGGATAATGTAAATGAGATTGCCAGGATTACCAGTGGATTCGATCGCAGAAAAAACGGACACACACACAGAATATCACAGAACTTTATCATCTTATCTCCCTGTTTACCCATCGAAAATTGACATTCCCACGTTGGGTCTCAAGTCATTGCGACCCGGCTGGGATGGTCCAAATCAACAACCTCTGGGAATTCAACCCCAAGAAAAAGGCTGTAATATACACGTATATACACCAATGATTCCGATGAGCAAAGATTTCAAGTGGCCTGAGGCGGAGACCAAAGTCTTTCACCTTCAAACCGCTTCACCAAAATGAGGAAACCGTAAGGAAACCATCTGTCTTGCTATTGGAAGTGGAAATGGTTGGAATCATGTTGGAATCATGTTGGAATCATGTTGGAATCATGTTGGAATCATGTTGGAATCATTTCCTGATTTTCCTTTCTCTTCAAAAACTTCAAAAGCAAGGCTGGGATTTCTCTTTCCTTTTTTCTATGTCCGCAGAACACAGTTTGTGCTAAAATTGATTAGAAGTGGGATGGTTTGAAATTCAAAATGACCCGCTCATCAATGCATGCTTGCGGCCACGAATTCTTGATCAAACCCAGCATTGTTGCTTCAATTTGCTTAATTTCCCAAAATTCCAGTTGCGATCTCATATCTGTTTTCGGTTGAAGCACCAAATGAGAATGGTTCATTCTGACCCAAAAAATTGGATGGTTTGAAAAATGCAAGAAACGTCAGCCCTTGATGTCGACCTGCAACCCCAGCTCTTTAGCGAGGTCGAAGAAGCCAAGGATGGCAGATTCCGGTGCTGTCCTGCCGTAGGAAGCTGTGGCCGAAATGAGGATACCGCAGATACGCGGGTACCCTGGATGTAAAATCCAACAATTCTCAGATGAACCAACAGGAATTTGGAGAATATAAATGGCTATGACGAAGCAAGATATCTCTGCATGTTTTTAAGTTTCAACATGTGTCAACTATCTAGTTTGAGGACCGACAGCTTTCAGCCGTGGCTGTCTTCTCCATCTGCTGAATTTCTCTTCCAAGACTTTTTTCAAGTGACCAAAACCTGGAGTGAACTCTTCATTTTCCCTGTTGCTGGCCATGATTTGGGTGTCTCCAAAAAAGGGCAACCTATTTTCCAAACAATTGGGTTTAGGGGTATCATCATCTTCCCTAAAAGAGATAAAAGAGTTTGATAGGATATGCTACCATATGCTACCCATTCCACCCAATTCCCACCTTTCCCCCGCCTATGGAAGGAGAAGCAAATCAGGGCCATGCCGGAAGCGGCCAGGGACCCTGAGATGCTTTTCAGCAAGGGCCGGTGAAGATCTGGGATGTACAGGCAGTCCTCAGGAACACGATTGGGAACCCGGTGAATCCACAAGCTCTCAATTCGGCAACTTGGTGTTTCGGGATACACCACATTGTCAAAGGTTGCGACATGTTGCGACGCCAAGAGTCATTGCAAAGGATCAAATCGAACTTTCCATCTTGGCAAAGGGTCCCACCTGGGTGTTCCAAAGATCTTGTGACTTGCTGATTTCTGACCGTTCTGCATCTGCGTGACCAGTGTTCTGAGTGGTGGACAATCCTCACCCCAAACATGAGGCAAAACGCCTGCGATTGCCAAATCATGCAATGTTGCATGAGTCGCATGTAAAAAAACACAGAGTAAGGAATGTTCATACATTCCAGATCGGATGTAAGTGATAGAAACAAATCTAGAAGGTTTTTGCCATGTTTTGCCGGTCTGAGCAAAGCGCTAACTGATTTGGATTGGGCAATCTGGAGGTTGACTGCCTCAAATCTGGTGCGTCGTCACAGGTTACAACTCATCTTTTGTGAAAAACCAGGAGGCCATGCGTGGCTTGGGCCTCACACAAACACACAACTATGATGTGGATAAACAGGGATGAATGAACCAATACAAACCAATTTGCAGATGTATGGGATATACGTGTGTAGATAGATAGATAGATAGATAGATAGATAGATAGATAGATAGATAGATAGATAGATAGATAGATAGATAGATAGATAGATAGCTGCAACCCAATGCACCCGTGTTTGGAGAATTTTGAGCCTCCAAAATGGAGGGTTCAACGGTTGAACATGGTTGACATTGGTTGAACCATCCAAATAGGGGTCACTTGGCAACCTGAGCTCCAGCCGAGCTACCAGGGAAGCGGACATTGCCAGCAGTCTTTCGTGATCTGGGACATCGGTGGCCACCACCTCCCATCAGATCCATATCCCATCTCACCAATTTCACCAATTTCACCCAAGTATTTTACTTTTCTTTGGATTTGACAGATTCCTCTAAAACTCATTTTTTCAAACAGGCTGATTTCTCGAGAAATCGATGGGATCACCATGGATCACCTTGGCACCAAGCCGCAGCGCCACTGCAGATGGTAAAGCAAGACCTGCACCCACCTGGCGAATCAGCCAGCAGTTGACCAGTTGTAAATGGGCGAACAACTGCCCCCATCACCGAATCACCAACATCGGTCTAATGGAAATTCAACTAAAGTGATAATAATTACGACCAACGACTCATTTTCAGGATTGAAGAGATACGGCTAAATTTGCAATCCTATTTGGACGAGTTAGATCCAATGAATTCCTGTTTGGACTGACAAAAAATGGTTATTTTGAGACTCTTACCATCCATTTTAAGGGTATTTCAGATTTTTCCCCAGTTGGATGAAGTAAACTCCAACGGATGTCACCTCCAACACTCGAGTGCTGTGCCATGGAGGAAGCCCCTGGTAGATCGGTTGGAGAAACCCTCTGACAAAATAGACTGGTGAGGTTCAGAAATAGTACAAAGATGTAGCCAAAACAATTGGAGATAGTGGGACATCATTTGGGACATCTTGGGAAGATCTTCCGATAATTCACGGTCAAGGCTCGTCTCCAAAACACAAGAGTTCTTAGTCCTTGGGGCCCATTGAGAGAAACAATAAGAACACATCCGTCACGCCGAAGCTTAAGATGCAACATGAAAACTGCAGTTCCAAAGATGATTTTACTCCTGGATATGGCCCCCATTGTCCCATGGTCCCAGCAACAAACATTGACACGCCAAAAAAAACCTCAGTGTTTATCGCACAGACATCTGGAAGATGCATCCAAGTTAATTAATCTGGTATCTGGAATCAATCATTTGGAGTGATTTGGACTGTGGAATGGAAGCAACAATCTTTGCCCAGAAACGAGGTGCCCAAGAGCATCGTGCCTTCAACTCGTTGTTGATGAGCACTGCAGCAGCAAATTCAGCGGAGGCCTGTGCGGTCAGCTGATGGCTCGCATAAAGAACCAAAAACTTGACAGGTGAAGGAATGGTATGGAGTGTGACATTTTCTTTTTTACTACATCTATGACTCTATGACTATGATTATTATGATTGTTGTGATCACTTCTACTATGTTACTATCATCATTATCAACGTTATTGTTACTATTCCTATGGCCTTTATTTTGGGCATAATTCTATTGATGATCATTAATTACTACCATAATGTTCCTGATGTGGGATTTATGATGACAGTGATGATAATGGACATGATGCTGGTGATAGGAAACATGATGGCAAAGAAACACTGTGATGATGATAGTGACAGGGATTGCACTTTCCCTTCATTTTCAACATCACCTTGAGATAAGCACTGGTGGAATGCTCCAAGAAATGGAATCGCTGGAGTTTGTCGGTTTGTCCAAATCTGTACCCCTAAAAAATCCATCGTTTATTGTCATTCGTACCCAACTTTTGGAGTCACATTTCTGCCATCCAATCTCCGTCGACCCCCTGGGCCATCGACCCAAATGACATCTCCGTGTCCCTGCTTGGAGCAACCCAGTACCTGAAATCTCCAGTTGCAGGAATTCTTCCGAAGTTATGGTCATCAAAGGGCAAAAGGATGGCTTTTGGGGTGTAACATTTCTGGACAAAAGCCAAATTTTTGGAGACCCCGTCAAGGTTTTCAATATTTCAATCTTGTCCATTGAACCAACATTGACAACGTCCTGTCAAGATTGAATCACAGTCAACTATTTCGCAGTACATGGCTGTAGGTTTCACTAGGTTTCACTAGGTTTCACTCGATCCTCCAAAATCTTCCAAGTTGAACATTTTGGACAAATGTAGCACCAAACCATAGGGGCTCACCAATGGAATCCTCATGCCAGCTACCTCTTTGACGAAACACCTGCAAAGTTCAAGGCAACAGTTGGATCTCTCACGGTCCCAACATAAGTACAATCATGAATTCTTGACATGTTTTGCACACATAAAACAATTTGTTCACCGTTTTCACACTATGAATATCCTCATTTCAGCTTCGAACCAGGTGGGTGAGCGATAGCGATTCGGCAGGTGGTGCACTGACAGCCTGGCAGGTGGGAACTGCAGGTCCCGCAGACCCTCTGTTCAAATCTGTTCAAACATTTCTGTTCAAACAGGTTCACAAAAAAAGAGAGATTCAGATTTTAAACGGAATCTGGCAGAGTTTTCATGAATTTGTTCCTGCTTTCATCGGACAACTGCTGAAAGTGTGTTTTCAAATCTCGGGAGAGACTACAGGCGCTACAGGTACCATGATTTTTCTCAACGAATGGGGTTTGTCCAAAACGTTTGAGTACCCAAAGATCCAAATGGTTAAGAAATGTTAAGAACATCATTTGTTTTTCCCCCTTGAAATGGCCCAACAACACCTATTCTTGACGGTAAAATCTCAATTTTTCTGGTTTTCCTGTGGGGAAAATTCCCCACTGTGCCTCTTATCCACCGATTTCAGGAGGTCATCGACTGCTTCGGATCGCATCGCATCGCTGGACTCGTCCTCGCCTGTTGAGCAACGGGAGCAATTGATGTATATCACGATGGAGGGTAATATGGTAGTACTATGGTAGATTCTGGTAGATGGGAATGGATGGTGATGGTAATAGATGGTAATAAGTGTTAAATATGAATGGTACCCATAAATACGACACATTGTGGTAGTCATCGTATTGTTTGAACATGAACTATGCGTTCTGGGACTCAGTACGAGTGCCAAACATCGGACCATTTTTTTGGAACAGATCCGGTGATTGTTGGCCATCGGATGTGATGAAGAAATGATAAGAGCCAACAAGAACTGTTTTTTATTTTTCAACGTGTACTAGTATACATGTATACATATATATATATTAACGTATTTATACATGAGTTTGTCTGAATACAGGTGACCGTTAATCCCACATGGTTATAGTCATTTTCTATTGCTTTAACGGCCATGAATTGGATAACCACGGTTTATTGAGACACCCACATGGGAACCTCTTATCCCGCTTTTGATGTGCTAAATACATGACAAAAGGTTGGATATTCATCAACACACTTGGAGGTATTTAAAAATTCGTATATCCCCTTGCCCAAATCAGTGTGAATCATGATCAGCATCATCACTTTTAGCCTTAGCAGCACAACTATCCCTTGTTTAGTCATATGAGTATGGTATGTCTCAAACTTTTGAACCCATCGACCCCTGCTGGCCGAAAAGGTCCATGGTGAAGTCATCGTCCTCTTTCGACTCTTCCTGGAAGCTGAAATGGAGTCGGATGGGTCAGGTAAACCGAGGTTTCCACTTGTATTCAATACTATTCACATCGAATGGGCTGGTTGTTATGGATATATAATTTATATCAGATTCATCCCAAAGACGGAACGTCAATGAACGTCATAGGTCATAGGCCCTGTCATAGGCATTGACCCATCTCTAATTCTCATCATTTTTTCATGTTGATCGGGTCAGAATTCTATGTCCTCGGCACCTCATTCTTGGCAATGCTGTGTGCGAAAGTCACTCATGTTGCATAAATCTCAACAAAATTTCCCGGGCTTCTTCAAACTCATCCATTTCATCTGTGAAAGCTCCCAACTGTCCCAATTTTTTGGCGTTGAACTAATTAATCAGATTTAATCAGTTACTCTACCACGTTCAAAGGCAAACTGAGTCCTTCAACAGCCTTTCCAGCAAAGCTTCGGGCAGCACGGCCTTGTGAAATTGGTGCCGTTTTAACCAATCTCAGAAGTGGTCAGTTGATGTCAGTTGATGTCAGTTGATGTCAGGGATCATCCCAAACAGTGTTCGAATACGGCCACCCAGATCAAGGTGATTAAGCATAGGCACACCAGCTATAGCAATGGCATGGAATGGCCCAAGGTACTGGTACCAACAGGAACTGCCTTCAGATGATGCCAGGAGCCATGGCATTCCATGAGCCAGGTACAGCTGTAGGTACAGTTGTAGGTGCTGTTTTAATCTGTTTTAGAAACACTTTGCTGATTCTTTGTCGCACTCACTTTGCTACGATTTGTCGGGACCAGGTGGATCAGCAATTGCTCATGCTTTTTCAAGAAGCTTTGATGTAAATCTGGTCGGGGCATTTTTGAAACAACGATTTGTGTCTTCAAACACTCTTCACTTCTTGGGCCACCGGTTGCAGCTTTCAACAAACCATCAAACTGCAAACAGCAGCACTGGTCTAAACCAAAAAGGGATTGTTTGGATTGTCCCTATGGAAACACCTGTCATCACATCGCATCGCAGCTGTGCGCCCTTTTCCTACGGGCTTGCAGGTGCAAGAAGAAAGTCGGCGAATTCCTGGAACCAACTGAAGCAAGTCCCAAAACCAACCAGGCTTTCTAGGTCTCTGAAAATTGGACCCGCAAGTCCCATGGATAAAAACCTGATTTTCTTAGTTACAGTAAAACTATGTAAAACTTGCAATCACTTGGGGGGCTCCCGATCTTTTCGATAAACTAGGAATCCATGCATTGGTAAAATGCTCCTGCAGTCCTGTACAGTTTCGAAATAATGTCGACACTCCTTGCGCATGTATTCCTGGAGCGAGGACTGGGACAGAGGATCTAAAGGAAGCCGATGTGGAAAATTCCATAGAGACACAGGAAACACACATAAAACATGATTTTACTTGGATTTCAAGTACAAGTCATTGCCAAATGGTCAGTCATTGAGCACATGGGATCTAGTTGATGGCATTTGACTTACAACAAGACAAGACTGTCTTGTCCTCGTTTCGTCACTAAATTGGTGACAATTTGCTAGTCTAACCTTATAACCCTCATATTCTTGGGAAAAGTCTAGAACCTGTAGATTTCACCTGCAAACCAGTCCGGAAGAAAACGGAAAGCGAGTAATCTATCGAAACGGCTCCGGAGAATGGAAGGCATTGCCACTTGGGCCAAGATAAACCCAACATATAGCCTTCCAACTGACCCAATATGTTGTCGGGCCGAACATAGGCCCGAAGTGGCCCAATATAACCCTGAAATGACGCAGGCTAGGCCAAAATAAACCCCAAATGAATCTTAATAACGTTACTCTTCCGTTGGGGTTGAACAAATGCTTCCACATTGCTCCGAAGGCAATTTTTTCACGGTATTTACAGTGTTTTTTGCACATCACACATCCCAAAGGCTGCATGCAACATAGCACCAAAAATTCAAAAATTGAGCTCCCATGCAGGAAAAATGGCCTTAGACAAACCCAACATAGCCCTCCAAGACCTCAAAATAAAAATGCCCCCGCATCGCGTCAACGCACATCTTCCTTTAGGTCTTTATGTTGATGCCAAAAAGAACGTTCTAGTTCTAGCACACTTGGCTCGAAATAGCCGCATGTGGCCTTATAGCCCTCCAAGATCTCAACATAGCCCTCCAAGTGGCCCAATACGCCTGCACATGACCCCAGATAGGCCCAACATAGCCTTGAAATGACCAACATATAGCCCTCCAACTGACCGAATATGTTGTAGGGCCGAACATAGGCCCGAAGTGGCCCAATATAAGCCCAACAAAATCGTAAATTGCCAAACAAAACCCCCAACTTGACCCTGACATGACGCAGGATAGGCCCAAAATACACCCCAAATGAATCTTAATAACGTTACTCTCCCGTTGGGGTTGAAAAAATGCTTCTACATTGCTCCGAAGGCAATTTTTTCACGATATTTACAGTGTTTTTTGCACATCACACATCCCAAAGGCTGCATGCAACATAGCACCAGAAATTCAAAAATTGAGCTCCCATGCAGGAAAAACGTTTTTTTTTTTTACGCGAACGCATCCCCGCAAACATGCGCAAGAAGCAATCTCTCTCGTTGGGGTTGAAAAAATGCTTCTACATTGCTCCGAAGGTTTCACGGTAGTTAGGGTGTTTTTGCACATCACGCATCCCAAAGGCTGCAGGCAACATAGCACCAAAAATTCAAAAATTGAGCTCCCATGCAAGAAAAATGGCCTTAGACAAACCCAACATAGCCCTCCAAGACCTCAAAATACAAATGCCCCCGCATCGCGTCAACGCACATCTTCCTTTAGGTCTTTATGTTGATGCAAAAAGAACGTTCTAGTTCTAGCACACTTGGCTCGAAATAGCCGCATATGGCCTTATAGCCCTCCAAGATCTCAACATAGCCCTCCAAGTGGCCCAATACGCCTGCACATGACCCCAGATAGGCCCAACATAGCCTTGAAATGACCCAATATGGCCACTTGGGCCAAGATAAGGCCAACATATAGCCCTCCAACTGACCGAATATTTTGTAGGGCCGAACATAGGCCCGAAGTGGCCCAATATAAGCTCAACAAAATCGTAAATTGCCAAACAAAACCCCCAACTTGACCCTGACATGACGCAGGATAGGCCCAAAATACACCCCAAATGAATCTTAATAACGTTACTCTCCCGTTGGGGTTGAAAAAATGCTTCTACATTGCTCCGAAGGCAATTTTTTCACCATATTTACAGTGTTTTTTGCACATCACACATCCCAAAGGCTGCATGCAACATAGCACCAAAAATTCAAAACTTGAGCTCCCATGCAGGAAAAACGCGTTTTTTTTTACGCGAACGCATCCCCGCAAACATGCGCAAGAAGCAATTTTTCCTGTAATTTACAGTGTTTTTTTGGCACATGTCCAAC